GAGGGTCAGAGAAAAAGAGGAAGACCCCCAATGAGATGGATTGGGCAGGTGGCAGCATCGATGGACTCAAGCATGGCAACAGTAGTGAGGTTGGCCCAGGAGCAGGCAGTGTTTCATTCTGCTGTGCATAGGGTCACTATGAGTAGGTGCCAACTCGATGGGACCTAAGAACAACAGCAACATATGGTTATAATTCTGGCTTAAACATAAAATACAGATATAGCAAAGACGCCTCATTGTTGAATCTCATTTTTCTATTACTTTATTGACTCGACATAGCACTCTGAGCACTACATAAATATGGAGAAAAAACATATTCTCAATAAAGTCATACTGAGAATTATTTGATCTGATTTAGCAAACAAAAATTAGATTTTTTTTCACTCTTCCTTCCCTTTAACATTTACATTAAATTGTATATGTAGACTAGGAAATAAGGCTTTATATAACCCTCATTTTTAAAAAAGAAAAAAAAAACAATTTTTATTGATTAATTGATAAAAAAAAATCAAGTTTTAGTTTCTACTAAAAGAATCTAAGTTTAATACACGTGTTCTAAGAGTGCCCTAAAACGTCTTCAAATTCATTGATTTGACAGGTGGTTTCTGTAACCCTCCCTTTTTGCATTAATTAACTTTGCTTTTCTTTGGCCTAGACAGCATACTTATGTATTTAATTTTTTGTTATCATGTAAAACCCTATACCAACAGTGTGTATCATGACAAGCTATGAATAACATTGAGAGGAATGTATATTCCAGAATACTTATTGCGTTTATGTACATAGAGCAAGAGACAGTTGTTCAAACCGAACAAGGGAACATTGAATGATTTAAATTCAGGAAAGGTGTTTGCCAGGGCTGTATTCATTCACCATACTTAGTCAACCTGTATGTTGTTGTTGTAAATTGCCGTTGAGTCAATTCTGACCCATAGCGACCCTGTATAGGGTTTCCGAGGAGCAGCTGGTGAGCTTGAAATGCTGACCTTGTAGTTCAAACGACTTTGCAGTCTGGCGCATTGACCCACAGCGCCACACCAGGACTCCAGTCAACCTGTATACTGAGCAAATAATCTGAGAAACTAGATTCAAAGATAGGTGTCCCAACAGACTGCGGAAATCATCGGACAATCTCTTTAATATCACATGCGAATAAAGTTTTACTAAAGGTAATACAGAAACGGCTGCAAGCATACATTGACAGAGAACTTCCAGAGGTTCAAGCCGGATTCAGAAGAGGCTGTGGACATGGCGTCAGGATTAGAGGAAGTCTCATTAATAATCTGTAATACGTAGATGATACAATCTTGCTGAAAGCAAAGAGGACTTCAAATTTTTACTGATGAATAATATCAAAGACCACAGCCTTCAGTATGGGTTG